TATATAAAGCTGTAGGGCCCTTGACCAATTCCAAATGGTAGCGAGTAAGGCCTATGTCCTATTGTTTTCGTAATAAGAGGTACTTTCGCTTCAGCCCCCCCCCACGTAGTAGTTACATTAGAAGCTGACACCACCCATACACAACGCCTCCTTTCCAGCTTTCCATGCAGGTGTTCCATGGCGACATGGGTCTTTGCATCCGTTTCTGACATGCAGTGTACCAGCGCGGAGATGATATATGATATCCTGCTGTAACTCCTCCCACACTGCTTAATTAATAGCCCGTCGTAAGTCGCTCAGAGCTGCTATACCAGGCGATCGGGCATTAGACAAGATGAACAACGTGCTGGACCAGCAGTCCGGTTTGCATGCCACCTGAGTCGTAATTCTCGTTCTAGATGTTTGCTCGTAGCATGCTGAAATGCACCCATTGCACCACTTCGCAGGGTCTTACACAGCAGATGTAGGTAATATGCGATATACTATGTAGAAAGCGCCGAAGAGAAACCCCAAGCTGCATTGAGACAATTCTTTTTATACGAGTCCGTAGCATCAATTGAAGGATTGCCCCTTTCGATTCAACCTATCCCGGTCTCTTTCGATCCTTCGCCACGTTGTTTATGATACCCTTCCATTGGCAGTCAGGCACTTTTGTAGACAATCTGCTACCAAAAGCAATTGGGGTTACCTTTTTGTTTTTTCCCAAAGTTTCTTTCTTCTTCTCAACCCTCTGGTATTACAAGCTGAGCAATAATGGGCACTTTAGGTACGCCACCTCAATATAATGATGTTTGTGTCGCCGACGATATATGTGCTAACGAACGCTCAGACCGTGACGCAACCGAGTCGACCTCGACGTTACCTGACCCCGACACCCTGTCGGAGGCCGAGGAGACAAAGTTGATGCGCAAGATCGACCTCCACGTGCTCCCCATGCTCTTCTTAATCTATGTGGCAGCCTTTCTTGATAGGTAAGTTTACTCATATGTGTGTGTAAAAGATCCCCGACTAAACATGGTGGTGCGGCCTTCCAGGGCGAACATATCGAATGCCCTCACCATGAGGTTACCGGAGGAGTTGGGATTGACTGGTCAACAACCTAACATTGCGCTGGCTGTATTCTTCGTTCCTTACATTGTTTTCGAAATACCTTCAAACATATTAATGAAACGATTTAGCCCTCATGTATGGCTATCTCTCTGCATCCTCTGTTTCGGCGTTGTCATGCTTGGCCAAGGCTTCATTCGGAACTACAGCGGCCTGCTTGCAACGCGTTTCTTACTTGGACTCTTTGAAGCTGGAATCTTCCCGGGGAGTTTCTATCTAATCAGTTTCTGGTACAAGCGACAAGAGTCGCAGAAGAGGTTCACTGTTTACTTTTGCTCCGTCATCCTGGCTTCTGCATTCGGCGGGCTACTTGCCTCTGCAATTGCGGAAATGGACGGGATACGGGGCATAAGTAACTGGAGGTGGATTTTTATATTGGAAGGGATTCTAACTATTCTAGTTGCTATCGCAGGGTATTTCTTCGTCAGTGATTTTCCCAGCGAAGTAAAATGGCTATCCGAGAGGGAGAAACAATTTGTTCTGACAAAAACCCGTGCGCACGGGACCACTGAAGAACAAAAAATCACTGGGAAAGATATTATTGAGTTCTTCAAGGATCCGAAGAATTACCTCGGTGCGGTAATGTACTTCTGTAGGTTTTTTTTCTCCGAATTGTATCTTACCGATCATCCCCGTGCTAAGTCCTACCAGGTGTCGTCGTCCCGGTTTATGCATTCGCCTACTTCACACCCACAATTGTGAAGACTCTCGGATACTCGGTTGTTCAAACACAGCTGCATTCAATCCCCCCATTTGCAGCTGCGCTTGGATTGTGTCTCGTCTTAACATATCTGTCGGATCGAACAGATAGTCGCCTCCCGTACATCATGTTTCCAATCGCTCTTCTTATCGCAGGACTTGCTATTTTAATGACGACCCATGCGAACTTCTCGGTTCAGTATGCAGGACTTTGCTTAGTTTGTATGGGTGCTTTCAGTGCGGGACCCGTTGTTATTTGCTGGTATCTCATGAATCTCCAAGGACATAAGCAGAGAAGCATTGGTTCCGCCTGGATGATCAGCTTTGGTAATACGGGAGGAATTCTAGCTCCTTTCGCATTTCTGCCAAAAGACGCGCCATACTATCACCCCGGCTACTCGGCGTGTATGGCGGTCGCTGCAGTAGGGGTCGCCGCAAATCTCTGCTATGCGCTCTTCATAATAAGGGAAAGACGTAGGGTACATCGCGATGGCGGAACCGAGAAGACGCATGATCTGTCATTGTAGATGTACTTTGACAAAATCTGCGGGTGATAACACATCGGCTTAACCGTTGGAAACTTGGACTTGATAGTACCTAAAGGCCCGCAGATACATCCACATATACAACCGCAGATACGACGTAAGGGAGTGTAACACCGGCTTGTGGCTCCGCCTTGTCAGGTACATCTTACTGGATATAAAACCTATAATATCCGCCTGTCAGGGCCAACAAACGGGGTGGATTAGGCTGTCCATATCATATATACCTCTATCTTCTAGATCATATTTCTTAGAGCATTATATCCGTTAGATCATAGACTTGAAAAAGATTTTTTTGTCCCTCATCCCCATGGCCGTCGAACTAGAATCGGGCCTCGCTTCTAAGAATGCAGAAGGTGCGCTTAATCACATGCCGCAAGCATATTCCTGTTTATATTGCTAAAATCTAGAAGTCCATGTTGTGTCTACAGATCCTATCGCAACCAGTTCGGCTCCTGCCGAGCTGGCTGCAGGTATGTCAACGGTAAGCGTCCACCACTCAATCATAGAACAGCGATCGGTGTTAATGTATGCCGGTATGCAGGCTCGGAAGCTGTTCATCTCTACGACCGTGATCCTAATGAACTTCAATGTCACATTGGGTTCATCTCTCCCCAGCGGAGCGGGAGATACGTTAAACGCCCATTTCGGTGTTACATCTGAACTTCAGAAGCCGTTGCCTGTGGCTGTTTTTCTTATTGGTTATAGTAAGTGAATCTGCGGGCCAAGGCAATGCCAATAGCGACTATTTTAAATAAATATAGTTATTCTAACAGGGCTTTTCAAGTATTCGGTCCCATAATATTTGCCCCGCTCTCTGAGTCGTGGGGTCGCCGTCCTGTCTTCCTTGTATCTTTCGGCATCTATACAGCATTCACACTTGGATGTGCCCTTGCTCCAAACTGGCCAGTGTTTCTCTTCTTCCGCTTCCTACTGGGTTGCGGGGCTGCCGCACCCCAGACAGTTTCCGGTGGACTTTTTTGTGATATCTATCCCGATCTAGGACCTCGTGGTCTAGCCATGACGATGCTGGGCCTTACAAGTAACATTGGACCCCTCGTGGGGCCTATCATCTCGGGTTTCACCTCAACGAAAGTCTGGCAGTGGCAGTTTTGGAGCGCTTTGATTCTCGCCGGTGCCAACTGGCCTATGTTACTTTTTATGCCCGAGACGTTTGCTCCTGTAGTCAACGCCCGCAACTTAAAAAACGCCACAGAAACAAAAACACACCAATCAGCAATCACTTCCGTCGTAACCAAAGCGCATTTACGCCTCAGGAACCGGGCGAGAATTCTGGCGCGCCCTATCCGCATCCTCACGGAGCCACTTGTTTTCTTTACGGATCTCTTCATCCTTTATCAATATGTTATCTACTTCCTTTATTTTGGGGCGTATCCAGTCATTTTCCGCGGCACATATGCCATGTCGAGCGGAATTTCCGCTTTAATGTTCATCCCTACTGGTATCGGAGGTATTTTTGCCATCGCTATATTTGTAGCCTGGGATAAGTTTCATAGAAGAAGTGTCGAAAGAGGAAGGCCGTGGGCCCTTCAGGAGGAGTACCGACGGCTCCCACTGGCTTGTCTCGGTGGCCCCCTGTTCGCTCTCTCCGAATTCTGGCTAGGGTGGACTGCAAGGCCTACCATTCATTGGGTCGTTCCCGCATTATCAGGCATATCGTTAGGCATAGGGATTGACCTCACATTTCTAGCACTAAACAACTACCTCACGGATGCATACGGCATATACAGCGCATCGGCGTTAGCATCAAGCGTGTTTACGCGAAATATCTTCGCAGCGATTATTATTCCTCTCACCACATATCCACTATATCAGAATCTAGGTACCGATTGGGCCTGCACATTACTGGGCTGCTTATGCGTTGCTTTAACCCCAATTCCATTCGCATTCATTCGCTGGGGACCAGCTATGAGAAAGCGTAGCGCTTTCTGCCAGCAGTTAGCACGTATGAAGGACGAGGATGAGGGTGGTAACATGGTGGTTCCCCTTTGACCGAGCTAAACCCGTTACAAACGGTGCACATAGAAGGTAGCTTCCCGAATGGCTGGGATTCGAAATTTGCGTTGTAACTAGAAACTCCATAGAAATTCAAAAGGACTGGTTCCCCCCAACTCTTGATTCGACCAGTTACATAAGTAGAACACTATACCCAGCCACGCCCAGCGAAAGGATGGTCGCACAAAAGTAACGTCGGGGAATGATTCAGTGTCAAGATGCGCTCCCTTAAGCTTTTTCTGAAAGTAATACTACTCAGCTGATAACAACCGTACTCCATTATAATTCCGTCCGATGATCTTTTACCCCGTCAGGTCGTATAATCGACAATACTTCGAATGTGCGCCATGTAGCAACCGCCACCTACCATTCTTTAAACGAAAAGCTTCTAGTTATGCCATGTCATTCAGCAGTTTGAATATTCCATGGGCTACCTGCTACATAGTGAATAGTACATAGTTGTAGGTACCTAGGGTACGTATCGAGAAGGTCCCACTTTATAATGTTGCATTAGTTCCCGTTGTGGAGTACGGGGATACATAGGGCTGTAACACTAGGCCCTCTTTAATAACTTATGCAAACGAAGAACCCTTGACACGCATATTTTATGAATTACTTGATAGATTAACTCTCTTCAATTTCAAAAGTACGTCAGAACCCTATCAAAGTAAATCTAGACAGTGACCATTGCTATACCAAAGTACAGGGCGAGCAAGTAACCGTTCACCCTATCTAGGCCAGACTTAAAGCAGCGACTCCTTTACTGAGCATACGAAGATTCGTCACTATCCCCAACCTGCAGTTCAGAGTCCGCCTCAAAGTTAGCCCTCCTCTCGGCATATGAGGACTCTTCCGAGTTTCCGACATGAAGTAATGGATCAGCTTCAAAGTTATCCCTCTTCTCTGCGTACGAGGATTCATCTGAATTCCCAATATGTAGCAATGGGTCGGCCTCAAACGTCGCCCGCTTAGTCGCATAAGACGAGTCTTTGGGGGCTCCAACGGTGAGCAAGGGATCAGCCTCGAAGTCTAATCAAGTCAGCACTTTCTTTGGTCATAATTTATGACTGGGGGATACATACTGTCAGGCTTCGGTGTCGGAGCAGCAACCGCGATTGCGGCAATCAATGGGAGCAGAATGAAGCTCTTCATGGTGAAGGATAAACGTCCAAGGGTTCGCTGGTAATAGTAAGAGCAGATGCACTTGATAGTCTCTGTGACGAAGTAGCGCGAGTTTCGATGGTGGTTTAAATGGGAGAATTATCGAAGTATGGTTTCGAATAGCATCCCATTTATATCATTTTGATGTCTCGTCCATTCTATACTGCTCGGTAGTTGCCATACCCGCTAGTTCATAAGGCTGATCCAAAGAGAAAACACCTTCCCCGCTCCCCGCGGGCGTAATCGCTATGGGGACTCATAAGCTCGCAGATCACTTGCTGCTTAGCAGAGAACTATACATTGAGCCGGCTTACATGTGGAGAGCAAGACCTAGCCGACTCCAGTGGTTTCATTCTTAGTTGATAGTTCGAGATATTATTCTAGGGAGTTACAGTTCCAAGACTAACTAAGCCTGTAATGCGGTAAGTCGATCCAAGAACATCGCATCATCAGAAGCGTCACATTGTGCATATGCTACAGCCCCCACCTACGTCTTCGTTCTGGCCAAACCTATCCAACGTAAGCAGAAGCAGACTCGTAAGCTTCGGAAAGATGCGAATGAGAAGATAATCAATTGAGAGGAATCCTTCCAAGCCTAAGATCCAAGCCGACAACATACCACCGTAGATGCGAGTAGTTGCAAGCGAGTGCGGGGACATTCAACCGATTGCAAAATCTTCATAGACGATCCGTTGTAAGATTGTACCTAGATTTGCCTTCAACGTCTGCAACCTCAACTAATGCCCGAATTTATGAGGGATATTGTGTCAAATGTAAAGCTTTTGGAACAAGCGGTTCATCTATGCACAACGCCACTGCATTTTTGTCAAGTAAATCTTCTAAAACGGAAGATAGTATACAACAGCATAACCATATACTACCTAGGTAACTAACCTTACAAAAACATTAGTTGTGTTCAAACCCTACGGGCTTTGATTATATAGGCAGATAAATAGCAAATTATTAAGAGTACCTATCTATCTATCTAAGTCGTTTTTGTGATTCCACCCGCCGCCGCCGAGCGGCCTAGGGAAGAGTGCGAAATGCGCAACAGCGCGCCGAATGCCCGTCCCCAAGCGGCGAGGCAAGCGGCGGGGTTCGAGGCCTGGTGTATATATCTGGAATGTGTTACTTTTTTAGGAATGGCTTCACCTCTAAATCTGGACTTTTTTACAGCGGACCCCCTTTTATTTAATTTCAACTAATCAGAGGCATTAAAATCCTCTAACCTTCCAACTATATAGAACCATTACACAATCCTACATTTTACCGATATGGTAGATTTACCTTCAACTCCTGCAACGTCAACTGATATCACATCAGCAAACGATAGTAGGCCCCGCCTCTTCGAGAGCCGGTATCGTCATACGACATGAAAGCTTGGGAATTCTATTAAGTGCCGTGTTCAAAACTTAACTATCACTTTCACTATTATCCAACTGTTCACTCAATATACCAGATGGTCTATCTAAATCTCATCACTACCACTTGATATCTTACTATCAATCGAAGCCATGCCTCTAAAATTCGCTTATCACCCGCTCTCGGATTCCTCGTTAGACTCTCCTTCAGCAGCTCTCGCTAACGAAAAGGAAGAGGAATATACAGAGTGCAAACCTTGTACAATTCGTAACCGGACGCGAAGATACCACTGGTTAGCTCATGCCGTGAGCTCGATTGCCATTATCAGCCTGGTAGTCCTTTTGATACGTTCTTATGATGATACTCTCATAGCTGCAAGATGTTGGGACATGCATAATTATTATTGTAGGGACTCCCTTCCATTTGCGTCTGTAACATGTTAGCGGTTATACTTACATCTTTCTTACCCAGCCCCTGTTAACGAGGCCTTGGCTACGCAGCCCTACATTACCACCCGATTCAACGGGTCACTCTGGTATGAATCACCCTTCAAAGGTCCACCGACACCAGCTGTCGAAGAGGCCTGGTACTCAGTTATGAAGTACGGCATGATTGCTGTGTCCGCCTCAGAGTACGAGAAAGTCAACCACTCGACCCGCACTGCAGTTCAGTTTCCTGAGGAAGCCGGAGGCGGATATATGGTGGCAACGATCGGAACGCATCAACTTCATTGTCTACACTTCCTCTGGCAAGACCACCACCGCACCTACTTCCCAAAGATTCTACGCAAGATTAAAGATGTTCCCGAGCTTTACGAACGGCATTACGAGCACTGCGTAGACTACATCAGACAGAGTATTATGTGTAATTTCGACACGGGTTTAGTAACGTATGATTGGGTCCTACAGCATCAAAATCCGACTCCCAATTCTAACGCCATGCACAAGTGCGTGAATTGGGACGTGGTACAAGGGTGGTTGAGAGATCGAGCCGTTGAAATTCCGGCTGGGTTTAAGTGGAGGCAACCTGAGGGACAGGAAAGCCTGCCGTGGAATCCCTAATAAAGCTTCTAAACGTGGAGGATAATGATTCGAGAAATGATAGGTGGTCGGCAACAACCGGTAGATGCAGTAAGAATGTCGAACATCCTCTCGAGAAGGCGAACATGGTCACAACATAAGACGTCAAAGCTAGAATTGATTTCTAGCGAATCGTTTTCAAAAGCTCATAGCCCCCAAATTCAATAGATAATAAGATCTACGTTACTCTCGGAAACTTTGATAAATACGCCCTTACTCCAGTTATTCAGCCGCAGCGGCCCGAATAGAGAAAAAAATATCATAAATAACAGTACCATTCGTGAGGAATCAAAGCCAATAAACTTGATACGGTCAACTACACTGGTCGAAAACGGAGTCCACCAAGACTAACAACAGAACTTAGATCAAATGTACTGCAACGTCGGGTTGGTCAACTAACTCAATTTGCGACCGTATAACTTGTTCGCCCGAAGGGGAATGCAAACCCGGGCGAGATTCCTACTTCTAAAAGGCGGGAGTGGCTTAACCGAGTCTCGACAAAACTTGAAAGGGAGATGATCGTGCACATGCATTGTAAGATCAAAGCTTCATTGGCTCTACGCATCACACCCCAACCGCATTGTGACTGTTCTCGGTACCAACTTTGGAACATGTTCAAACATTCCTTGCTCACCAAACTTGAAGCCCACATTACCACCATAGCAATGTCACCCGCTTGTTGTGGGCTTGGTGTTAGGTATAGTAGCTGAACATGATAGGAGATATGATTCAGTTTTGTTGCATTGCAGACTAATAATGGTCACCAGATATCCAGTGGCTGATATTGCCTCCCAAAGGTACTACGGTCCAAGTATCAGGTATCTAAAACATCCCTCGAGAATGATGTCCTCGGCTTGTCACTCCGCAATACGGCAGCGCATGCATTAAGCTTAATCGCAACGGCGACCAGATCCTGGCGGGAGGAACCGCAAACCTGCACAGTTTTCTACATTCCATCAGCCTCCAAGCGCACATGCACGCCCGCTGGCAAGGATTGAAGCGCCCCGGATCCAGAAGGCGGAGGATTACTATGTTACATCTCAGAGGTGCATACATGAATCCTTCGGACATCGAACCGTTAATGAATTCGATGGGAAGCTTCAAAAGTCCGCTACTTCAGACTGCTACCCTCTAAAACCAGCTCACCTCCAAAACATCTTGCCGTAGATGTCTGCGGTAATGAACAGGTTCAAAGGAGCAATTGAAAGTGCGGCAGATTTTTGAGACGCAATGCGATAACTGTGGCGTTCCGTACTTACATGAAAGTAACGAAGGCGACAGACTATCTACCTCGAGAGCTCAGGAGACATCGTTCCAGCATCTTCTGGGCGGGCTTCGGTCCCGAGGATATCGTCGCAGCCAAGTCATAGAGAAGATCTCGATTCAAATACCAAGAGAAGAGAGGCCTAAAAATATCCCACGCGAAAGGTTATCGGCAGATAAATTCCCATGAGATAATATTGCTTACGCAGTAGAAGATGCTAGCCAAGCGCAGTAGCTGCATTTCACAAGCTGTCATAGGTTAGTCAGGTGGTTAGCTAGAAGAAGTACCCCTTATTTTAACTGATAGCAAGTCTCCAGACACGGAGATTCCCCGAACCAAAACGTAAATAATTCTTAGGTATCTAATCATGAACTCTTCGAGTAAGTGTATAGGTACCCAGGTAGGTATGTAAGAAAGTAATCAAGCCGTTAACCGGCTGGTGCACGCGTAGCTTATTACGCAAGCACCGGGAATTGTGAAATAGCAAAAGCTGCGAATAGCTAAGTCCGAGATTCAAACCCCCCTAAGGACAACATCTACGGAAACCCGGCTTTACCGGACATCGGCTTTGAAGTCACACTCTTGGTGCTCTAAGAGCGCCCTGACATAAGATACCACAGCGGGACTTTCCCTGACCTCGCGTCGTCGGCCCCCGCGGTAGACTTTGGCAGATAGTCTGCCCGTAAATGGAGAATATAAGCTTAAGTTCCAAGTAGATATGCAATTACCTAAGGCAGATAGATCTCGTTACCTACCTAGGCTTCGGTCGCTTGATATTTCGAGTGATAGATAACGATGAAGCTCTAAGTCGCCGGCTCGCGCTGCGAATGGTTATCTAAATTTCCTAGACATAAAGAGTGTTTAATGTTCTGAATACCTGTAAAAGAATAACATTAACTACTCATTCATGCGGGTGTATTGTAAAATATAACTACCTTAAACCTATATAGAATGACTAGATGTGAAAATAGGAACGCTCAAGCAGGAGGTGTTTACTTGAAATCAACGACTCTAGAATACCCCCACCACTTGAGGCACGGCGCATCATTCCATCATTCCTTGAAGCTAAAGACCATTCTTGGCCATTGGAATAGCGGTATTGATATGGTTTAAATATGCTGATTGCCAGATATTACCGCAATTCTTGAATTAGTCCGCGTTAAGTTGCGGGATAATACCTATGAACGTAGGAGGTACTTAGTATCTCCCATGTTCTTCATCAACCACATCATACAAATGTCCGCCATCCAGTACCTTCTTCTCTCTCAAGATACACATGTAATCAATTTCAGATCGTTTGTGTATCCTGTGTGCAGTTAAAGAGGATTGAAGAATCTGCGTAGATAGATGTCGGCTACGTACATAGGTAGATATAAGCTCCTTCAAA